TGCCAGCGCGCTAGTCTGGAGACCCTTAACCCACCCCGCTCGCACAAGATGGGTTAGAATCAATCCAGCGTCCTCAGTTGACCTCTGGCGGATACCGCCAAGTTGGTTGGGATGGAAGATATCATGCTTGACGGCGTCAAACTGTATCCTGTTGGCAATCATCTTTTCGATAAGTTTACCGAAAGTGATGAGGAGTACGATTGGCCTGAAGGCCTTCGGCACAGAATAGGAGGGCTTGTTCGGCTTGACTCCTTGAATATATGTGGCCAATGACCCACCCGAAGGCAAGCATTAGCCAGCACGATGAAGAGCGCAAGGACGTGTTTGTCCTTGAGCAGCTCCTTTAGGTGGACCCATGTAACATGGTCCGGTCCTGGTGCAGAGGAGTTGGAGCACCCCAAAAAGACAAGGACATTGTATGCTTTCTTCTCAATCATGGCATTCCCTTCCATACTTTGCAATTGAAGGAGACTCTTTGTCAGCGTCCTAATTGTTATTATCCTCATTTCAAGTACCCATATCAACTCGATCACACCTTTACTAAAGCCGACTTCAACTCTTACCTCAGTCTCTGTGCTGAAATTATGTCCAAGCCATATAGTGGTCGAGCTGCTCTTATGAGAGGCAGTTATCTCTGGAGAGTTGGGACACCTTATGCTTCATTTGACCATGTTCTTTTGGGACCATCAGGATTATCAGACAATGGTACCAACTTTCATGCATATACCATGGAATCAAAGCTGGAGTACATCAACGATAATCTGACGCATAAAGAGGAGAACATTCTTTGTGGTGCTTATACTCTGTTAACAACACCAATCCTTAATGAGAATGATGAACTTGAAGATGGAGAAGTTATTGGTGAGATTTTTCAAAAAAAAATTCTTAGAGTTTATTTGCTAAAATTACTTGCATCTTAATAGAGTATGAAGAGAAATTGGTGTCTTGGTTTCCACGACCTTGAGAACTTGAAAATAGCAGTCAAAATTACGGTCGCTGGAATGATCTGCTTGAGAACAAGTACTTGACTTATAGAAACCAGATTGACCAACCTCTGATTAATTCTGCATGGCATAGCACCATTAAAAGCACCATAGTGTCTAGATGTTTTCAATTTCTTGATAATATTTCTCTTAAGTCAATCGATGAGGCTCAGCGTATCCATGTATAGAATAACGTATCCAGATTAGAAATAGCATCAGAACATGGTCACGTGACATGTTGAACTTGAGTTTCAATTTCATTTGGCAACTTTCAAGGCTTGCTCTTGTACCTCAGCATCCCACTAATGCTTTCAACACTTCTGCTCTCTCTTCTCATTTTAACTGCTCCTCTTGAGATATATAACTCAGAGTGCAAACTAGGTAAAATTTTGAATCTCTTTTGAATACTTGTATCATCTAACTTGAACTATACATCCAGGGCCTTCTGCACTTTCCTCTTCTACAACAACATGGACAGAGTTTAATAACTCAGTGGCTATTGCATCGGTGTATCAAGAGCCTCAACCTACATGTTCATGTGAGCACCAGAACCGTTATTGATTATCATGACTGACTTGCATTTCTTCAACTACTCACCAGAGTTTAGAGTTAGAAACTGAGTTTAATCATGAGTTAGAGATTGGCAGCAATCCAGGCATTTTATTTGGAATTTATAAAAAGAGTCATACACCAACTTATACTGGCTTTGCTCTGCTTGGGCAATTTTTGTTCAAGATAACATCTGCTATTCTATTCTCAACAACTCAATGCATTAGATCTATGGCCATGTTTTCTACTTCTTCATTATGGTGCACTCCAGAGCAACTTTGCTATCGCATCTACCTTCTATTTCTTCAACACATCACACTAAAGCACCACTATAGTGCTATAGCCACCGTTTACTGGCCAGTGCTTTCCAGGATTCCAGCACATTCATTCTGCTATATTGCACCTTTTTCTTCTTGTTTACCATCTATTGTATATGTGCTAAACTATATACAGATTCAACAGAATAAATTCTGCTCTCATGAAGCTGAATTTGAATGCTTAGCTGTTCCTGATCAATGTGCAGGAGGAGTTAAGTATGCTTCACTCCAGAATCTTCAAAATTATGCACTTTCTAAGGATCACTTATCTAGGTTTTCTTCTAGTGCTAAATTCACATTTGTCACTCAAACACCTTATAAAGACCATACATCAATAGCGTCCGATGACAGTACATTAATTTGCCAGATTCCTCTCCAACTCATCTCATCTTTTCTCAATTTAGATCAACTCAAAAATATTGCTCAACTCCATAACATACAAGGTGATCCAAAGTACAAGCGATCAGAATTTCTTAAGCAGATTTTTTTTTTTTTTTTTTTGATCAACAATTTATATAGCGGTGCTCGGTGGCAGCCTGCTCGCTATCTACAAACACGTACACTACGCGGCCTGGGTACTAAGTAAACTACTAAAAGACGTCCGCCCCCCCAACCACGAGCCTTATGGCTCAAACACCAAAACTCCCACAAAGCCAGACCCACCTCGCAAAAACGGTGACGCGGGATAAGGGGAAGAGACCATCGAGGCCCCGCTAAACCCCAAAGTTGTTGAATGCTGTTCGGAGGCCACGCAGCGCAAATGAAATAAGAGAGCACCACCCAGGAGGTGGCAGGGTGTCTTAAGGCCGACCAGCCAGAGAAGCGCCTGCCCGAAACCAGACGCAGAGAGTTAGCGGCACCGCAACTCCGCTACAATAGCGGCCGCAAGCGCAAAGAAATAGCGGCAGGCGCAGGTCTTCGAACCCTAGAGCTCGGTGGTGTCAATTCACCATAAATCCCCTGAAGGGAGGAACAACCCCGCCCACAACGATTATCCGACACCTGAAGGGTCCCGGTTGAAGCCAAACGCCGTAGGGTTGTACTTCATAAAAGCTGCAATGTCCCCGAGAAATCGGGGGTAGTGCACGGAGTAGTGATCGCGACAGTGAAAGAGGACATGCTGACGGGACTGCAAGGCAGCCCTGCAAGTGCAGCCGTGAGGCTCATTGATCTTGAAGCGACGATAATATGCTCCAATGGGCGCGTGGCCAGTTATACACCAGCAAACGCGAGCGAACAGGTGATCGGTTACTGGACCGCTATGCGGACTGTATCCACTTTGACGAGCGCGATCCTACCCAGGATAGGCGACCATATCTAGACGAGCTCATCGCGAGAGCGAGAGCCGACCCACTAACAGTATTGGCTGCAACTGATGGCTCTGTCCCTCAGTCCAACCAGTATCAGGCGGCTTCGGCTGCTATAATCTACAAGGGACATCGCGAGCTCGAGAGGACTCGCTATGTCTCTGGCAGAGTTACCGCCCCGGATGCGGAACTCAATGCCATCTCGTGCGCAGTGCGCCTTGCTGTCAAGCAGGCAAACTGCCAACATATCATGGTCTTTACTGACTCTATGGGCTCAGCCCATAGAGCGGTTGACCCCGGCGTGCATTCTGGTCAGGCTTTTAGTCTGTCAGTATGTCGCGCTCTTCAAGAGTGGTTTGAGGCGGATGATCTCCGCTGCATTACCTTTGTCTATGTCCCATCCGCTCTGCGGTGGGATATCCATGGTGAAGCACACAAGTACGTCACCGAGCTCAAAGTCAGGGTTGGACGTCGTAAGACAGACAACTCTATAGACACGCTTCGCTCTCGAGCTGCGCACTCAGTCCTGGATTCGTGGAGCTCCACTTTCCAGGATCCAATTTACCGAGGCTCTGAGTTCTTAGAGCTTCAACAGCCTGACGGGCGGCCGCTACAGCCATTGTACCTCAATGGGGGACCTTGGCTTTCAACATTCAGACACAGTATTACTGAGTTCGCCCGCGTTTGCTGGTGCATAACTGGCCACGCGCCCATTGGAGTGTATTACTGTCGCTTCAAGATCAATGAGCCTCACGGCTGCACTTGCGGGGCTGCTTTGCAGTCCTGTCAGCATATTCTCTTTCGCTGTCACGATCGCTACTCCGTGCATTACCCCCGCTTTCTTGGGGATATTGCATCTTTTATGAAGTACAACCCCATGGTGTTTGGCTTCAACCGAGACCCCTCAGGTGTTGGATAATCGTTGTGGGCAGGGTCCTAGACCTGCGCCTACTGCTATTTCTTTGCGCTTGCAGCCGCTATTGTAGCGGGTTGCGGCGCCGCTAACTTTCTGCGTCTGGTCTCGGGCAGGCGCATCTCTGGCTTGTCGGCCTCAAGACACCTTGCTGCCTCCCGGGTGGTGCTCTCTTATTTCATTTGCGCTGCGTGGCCTCCGAACAGCATTCAACAACTTTGGGGTTTAGCGGGGCCTCGATGGTCTCTTCCCCTTATCCCGCGTCACCGTTTTCGCGAGGTGGGTCTGGCTTTATGGGAGCTTCGGCGTTTGAGCCATAAGGCTCGTGGTTGGGGGGGCAGACGTCCTTTAGTGGTTTACTTAGTACCCAGGCCGCGTAGTGTACGTGTTTGTAGATAGCGAGCGGGCTGCCACCGAGCACCGCTATATAAATTGTTTGATCACTAAAAAGACACAGTCGAGGATCTTTCAGGGGACCTCGAGGTGTTGACCACTTCCATTGCAAGGGCCACAGATTGGATTCTGTGGGCTGCGCATCATGATCCGCTCACTATTGATGGGGGCGATGCCTTTGTGGCTCAGATGACGTCCTTTGTGAATGCCATCATGGCCACCGCTTTAGTCATATTCATGGACCAGGCGAACTCAACAACTTCTTGCTTGCCTCTCTGCTGGAGGCTGAGATGTCTTCCAAGGACAAGCCAACATCCACCGGCCCCCATTTTCCGACCCCCTCCCCCTGCTGCCCATGGGCCACTCGATGAGGGTACTGGCATTGGAGTTTCTTCCGACATCCTCATGCAGGCATTGGACCACCTAGGTCGCCCAGCCTCCCCTCCTCGCATCCCTGCTTCCAAGAAGTGTAAGGGTGTCGATCGTCTGGTGCCACCTCCTCAGAAGAAGAGCAAGGTTGCCTACTCCTGCCCTGGTCTGCCTCTGCCAATCAATCATGCTACTAAACCCAAGCCCCATCTGACAACGTGGGCAGGGATTGCTCGTCAGGTCACGCTGATGCCTCCTCTGCCTCCTGGCTTGGGACCGCAATGTCACAGGCCTTCTCCCCTACCCTCATTTCCGACAGGGCCAATGAAGACCTCTCCTCATCGATCCGTCCCCTCTTTCACTTCCAAGGGCCCCACCCGGAAGCAGGTTCTCATGTCGTTTGGGGGTACCCCTCCCAACCTCACAAAGTTTTTCACCGAGTCGGCTGTGCATGCGGCCAATGGGTACCTCAGGGATGGCCGTTCCATGTTGAAGGTCACCTCCATCATCCGTGCCTATGATGGCCTGTTGTTGGTCACCCCAGCTGTTGCCAGTCCGTCTGACCTGGACATTCTGCACAACTTCATCCGTGAAAGCCTCCCAATGGGTACCCCATTTGAGGTTGTGCTCCCATCATCGACGTCTTTTATAAAGATCCTTGACGTTCCTTACTTCAATCTGAAGGGGTTGAAGATCACCCAGGAGGCACTTGAAAAGGCCCTCCGCACCTCGGTTCATGCTGAGGTTTTTGCATATCTGAGCACCAAGCCTCAGATAGATCGCAACTCCGTGCACTTGACATCGTGCACTGTCTACTGCAACCTTTGGGACTCGCAGCAGGGGACCCACGCCAAGAAGGCCCTTGGCCAACTGATCTTCCTTGCTGGACAGTCCTGTGCAATCAGGACCGCTGCTGCATGACACACTGGGGTTCCACTTTGCCAGCGCTGCTGGAAGTGGGGCCACCCCACCGTCGCCTGTAAGGTGAAACAACTCTCTTGCCCTATCTGTTCGGGTCCACACAAGCAGAAGGAGCACCGTTAACATGCAGGATGTTGCAAGGGGAATGCGAAAGCGAAACCCCCTGTGCCGCCCACCCCTCACGACCAGCCCTGCCCTCACAAGGGCCACTGTGTCAACTGCCACAAGGACCACACCACCAATTCGGCCTCGTGCAAGTTCTGGGCCCATCACTTCGACCGTGAGTGGATCATGGCCGAGTATCGTCAGGTATGTGAGCACGCCACTTGCTGCCAACTTACTAACCCCTGAACCTAGACTAATGTTGGGAAACCTTCAGGATCTAAGTAGTGGATTACATATTTATTGTCAGAACGTTTGCCATACCTATGCCCACATCGATACACTTCTCGAAATTTGTAAAACCAAATTTGATATTTTATTCTTCCAAGAAACACCTTGGAATTTCATAAGGCACACACTGTCCACCACTAGCATGGAGGGTGATGAGGTTATCGGCGCACCAAAGCATCCTGATTGGTTGCAAATGGTGTGTATTAAGGAGGGTGAAGTCCCTCGCATGATCACCTATGTTTTGACTAGGCTTTCCCACTATCATCCTGCTATGCGCCACGACATCGTGGACCATCACGACATCCTTGTCCTGTCCCTTTTCAGTGGGGGTGAGGTTCTCAACCTGATGAACATCTATTCTGATGATCAACACACAGCCATCAAGCACCTTGCTGCTCGTGTGCATGCTCTTCCGCCCTTCATTTATATGGCAGGCAACTTCAACTGTGTGTCCACAACTTGGGATGATTACGATCATGGCGAGTCATCGACAGCGATTTCCCTGCGTGACACCGTGTCTCAGATCAGCCTCGAGTGGGCTTGACCTTCTAATCATGGACCGACGAGGATCAGTCCCAATCCTTATCAAAGATCCAATGTTTTGGATCTTGTATTCTTAGCTCCATCTGAGATCTTAATCTTGATGCCCAGATTGGAGCATGATCTCCAGGGTCTGTCAGATCATGTCCCGATCTGTACAGATCTTGATATTGGTCCCAAACCGCCTGGATCTGTGCGACGGACAATTAAACCCAGAAGTGAGGCTAAGAAGTCTTTCATTTCGGATATTCTCTGGGATCTTGTGGCTATTCCTGTCGCAGCCCCGGCAACCAAGGAAGGCATTGAAGCTTTGGCTGATGCTATCACGACAGCATTCTCGGATGCGTGGCTTGCCCACACGACCGAGTCCAAACCTACCAAGCACTCCAAGTCCTGGTGGACGGACAAGTGCTCAGAGACCTTTAGCATATATCAGCTGAGCCACTCGCTCGCTGATTACAACAAGTTTAAGAAGGTGTGTAAGGACGCCAAGCGTGACTTCTTCGATGAACGCATTGCGGAAATCGCTACCTCTTGCAAGCGCCCTTGGGTCCTAATGGAATGGGTCAAACAGTGCAAGCTACCACCCTGTGAGGCTATTCACAATGGCGACCAGCCTTGCCATGATATGGACGACCTTTGGGACGCCCTTCATGGCACATACAACTTGGCCTCTGGTCGCGGGTATGACGCCTCAGTCTTAGACGAGCTTCCCAACGAGCCGGTCCATGAGTGGGCTGACTTTTTGGAGCATGAGTTGTTGAGTGCTCTTAAAGGGTGCTCCAGCTCCTCTGCACCAGGACCAGACTATGTTACATGGGTCCACCTAAAGGAGTTCCTCAAGGACAGACATGTCCTTGCACTCTTCATTGTGTTGGCCAATGGTTGCCTTAGGGTGGGGCACTGGCCACGCATATTCAAGGAGTCGCTGTCGGTTATCGTACCAAAGCCGAGCAAGCCCTCCTATGCAGTGCCAAAGGCTTTCAGGCCAATTGTACTCCTCATCACTTTTGGTAAACTTATCGCAAAGATGATTGCTAACAGGATACAGTTTGATGCTGTCAAGCATGATATCTGTCATCCAAACCAACTTGGCGGTAGTCGTCAGAGGTCAACTGAGGATGCTGGATTGATTCTGACTCATCTGGTGCGAGCGGGGTGGGTCAAGGGTCTCCAGACTAGTGCGCTGGTGTTCGACATCGCACAGTTCTTCCCTTCTAGCAACCATGAAATGTTCATGGCTGTTCTTTGTAAGCAGGGGTTCTCGCCAGTGTTGGTGGATTTCTTTGCCTCATACCTAGTTGGTCACTCCACAGTTTACTGCTGGAACACCTTCCAATCCAACTCGCAGTCTGTGGATGTGGGTGTTGGGCAGGGCTCTGCTCTATCGCCTGTTATTTCAGGGCTTTTCATTGCTCCGGTGATGAAGCTCTTCTCTATCAAGGCGGCGCTGCTCAACACGACACTGCTGTCCTTTGTGGACAATGGGACCATTCTGGCCCAATCCAAACAACTTGATGATAATAATGTGGGCCTGCGTAAGGCCTACAAAATTATCTACCTTCTCTTTGTTGCCTTCACACTCGTTCTTGAACACGACAAGACCGAGTTGTTCCATTTTTCACGTCAACAAGACACTTACAATCCTTTGCTTGATCTGGGGTACACCCCACATACAGGCACTACACGTTTGAAACCCAAGACCTATTGGAGGTACTTGGGCTTCTACTTTGACTGCAGGCTCACCTTTCATGAGCATGTTTGCTACTATGCCACCAAGGCATTCACCACCATGCAGGCCATGTGCATGCTCGGAAACTCTACTCAAGGGCTCTCGCTGAAACAGCAGCACCTCCTGTACAGATCTTGCATGGTTCCCATTGCCACATATGGTTATCGTCTCTGGTATTTCGATGGCACCTGTAACAAGGGTGCCATGAACCAGCTCAAGCGGATGCAGCGAAAAGCTGCTCTATGGATTACGGGTGCCTTCCGCACCTCACCCACAGGCGGTCTTGAGGCCTTGGCAGGTCTCATCCCCATCCATCTTATGCTGAAGAAGCTGGCAACTCACGCAGTGTATTGTGTTGCCACCCTTTCAGACACTCATCCTCTTCACTCTATGATGGGCGAGAGACTTCTCAAACGGGCTGAACCCCATGCCCACTCAGCCACCTTGATAACCCCAGCTATGCGAGGGAAGGTCAAGAGCACTGTTATGGAGGTGGACGAGCGCGTCCACACCTTAACTGAGAGCTTTGAGCTCTTTGCGCCCAAAGCTCGCCCCGGTGATCAGTTGCTGGACTGCTTTGCAGACCGTCTCCATTTTGACGAGCACAATCCTGCTCAGGATAGGCGCCCGTATCTTGACGAGCTCATTGCTGTTGCGAGAGCCAACCCATTAACAGTACTGGCTGCAGCTGACAGCTCTGTCCCTCAGTCTAACCAGTATCAGGTGACTTCGGCTGCCATCATCTACAAGGGACATCGTGAGCTTGAAAGGACTCGCTATGTCTTGGGCAGAGTCACTGCCCCTGATGTGGAGCTCAATGCCATTTCATGCACAGTGCACCTTGCTGTCAAGCAGGCAAGCTGCCAACATATCATGGTCTTTACTGACTCTATGGGCTTGGCCCATAAAGCAGTTGACCCTTCCATACATTCAGGCCAGGCTTTCAGTCTGTCAGTCTGTCACGTTCTCCAAGAGTGGTTTGACGCAGATGATCTCTGCCGCATTACTTTTGTTTACATTCCATCTGCCCTTCAGTGGGACATTCATGGTGAAGCACACAAGTACGTCACCGCGCTTAAAGTCAGGGTTGGACGTCGGAAGACGGACAATTCTATAGACGTGCTTCACTCTCGACCTGCACACTCAGTCCTGGATTCATGGAGTTCCACTTTCCAGGATCCAACCTACCGGGGCTCTGAATTTTTAGAGCTTCAACGGCCTGATGGGCGGCTGATACAGCCATCGTACCTCAATGGGGGACCTTGGCTTTCATACTTCGGACACAGTATCACTGAGTTCGCTTGTGTTTGCCAGTGCATAACTGGCCACACGCCCATTGGAGTGTACTACCGTTGCTTCAAGATCAACGAGCCTCATGGCTGCACTTGTGGGGCTGCTCTGCAGTTCTGTCAGCATGTCCTCTTTCGCTGCTGCGATCAATATTTTACGCATTATCCCCGCTTTCTTGGGGATATTGCATCCTTTATGAAGTACAACCCTACAGTGTTTGGCTTCATCTAGAACCCTTTGGGGGTCAGATAATCGTTATGGGCCAGGTCTATCCTGCCTTCAGGTGGTGTTAACTGCTCTGCAGGGACCCTCGCCCTATATTAGTTCTTCATGCTTGCAGCCCACTACTATAGCAGGTTGCGGCACCGCTAACTTTCTGCATCTGGTTTCGGGCAGGCGCATCTATGGCTTGTCGGCCTTAAGACACCCTGCCACCTCCCAGGTGGTGCTTTTCTTATTTCATTTGTGCTGCGTGGCCTCCAAACAGTGATCAACAACTTTGGGGTGTAGTGAGACCTCGATGGTTTTCTCCCCTTATCCCAATGCACTGTTTTTGTGAGGTAGGTTGCCCTGCGGGAAGTTTCGACGTATATACCAGAAGGGCCTTGGTTGGGGGGGCGGTCATCTTTAAGTAGTTAACTTAGTATGCAGGCCGTGTAGCGTATGTGTTTGTAGATAGAGTGGGCTGCTATCGAGCACCGCTATATAAATTGTTGAATTAAAAAAAAAAAAAAAAAAAAAAAAAAAAAAAAAAAGGCTTATGTTCGAGAGGCATGAAAGATATGGGAAGCAGAAGCAGAAGATGAGAAACAGGAGCAGGTCATCCTCAATAAAAACTTGGGCAAATATGTAGGTCTCTCCAAAGTCCAAGACTATATCTATCACAATACCAAGATATCAGCCTATATGAGTGGATTCGACATGTCAAAAAGTCAAAGAGAACACCCAAGGACAAGAAAGTGTTTCTTCAGAAATTATTGTTTCAGGCATTGGATGATTTAGCTGGTTCTGAAAGTGAGGATGAGCTGAACATTGTAGACTCTGTAGGTGGTGGAAAATCCAATGAGACTAAGGATGAACTCATATCATTGACAAGCCTTTGAATGAAAGTTGCAATGGAAAGAAATTTTCGTTCCTCCCTCAACATCCACAGTATAAGACACATCAAGTGATGCTTGTGAAGGATGATCCTCTTGTAGTTCCAAATTTTCTAGGGCGGAACACTTCCAAGAAGCAATCAAGGTGATCGTGAATATTATTGCTCAACAATGCTCACACTTTTCAAGCCTTGGCGGAGTGGATTGGATCTAAAGAATGCTACTCAGACCTGGGATAATGCCTTCTACTTGCACGAGTTCTCTCCACGTCAGAAAGAAATTATAGGTAACTTCAATCTTAGGTATGAATGCAATGACTCACGAGATGACTACAGTGCTAAGCTCAAGAAGGATTCCTTGACTACTGGACTCATGTCCTCATGGATGACTGATGAAGAAGTGCACAAGCTTGATGACACCAAGGGAATAATGGAATACAATGACGATGGCCCAGTCATTGACTTTGATGAAGACAATTTCCTGCCAGACCTGCTCAATGAGGATTCCTATTGTGAGAAGGAAATGGCTGACATTCAGAAAGTTATTACAGATATAGGCTGGCTAAGCAAATTGAAAAATCTGTCTCCAATTGATATTTCAAGCATCCAGCTCCAAGATATCATTCCAAGTACCAAGTGGAACATAATTGTTGCAACTGCTAAGCAGCTTATTCTTCGTAAAAGGAATGAACATCTTCCTAGCAGTTCATCAAAGTCTGAAGACATTGAGGCTGGAGATGGATATGTAGATGAAGTTGTTGTCTCTCCAATGTCTTATATTGATAAGAAATTCAAAGCCAAGCAAGCTGAGGAGCAAACCTTTATTGATGAGACCGTCAGTGAATTCTCCTTGAATGAAGAGCAAGAGCAGGCATTTTGTATAGTAGCCAATCATGCTACACTCCAAAAAGTTGAGCAGCTTAAGATGTATCTTGGAGGTATGGGTGGTACAGGCAAGTCTCAGGTTATTAAAGCATTGATATTGTTCTTTGCAAAGAGAAAGGAGTCTCATTGAATACTAATCTTAGCCCCAACAGGCTCTGCAGCTGCATTATTAAATGGTTCAACTTATCACTCTGCACTTGGTATTCAGTCAGATGGTACCCAGAAAATGAATGAGCATAAGCTGCTAGCTCAAGTTCGTGATCGTCTTGATGGTACTGACTACATATTTCTTGATGAAGTCTCAATGGTATCTTGCATGGACATATATAAGATTAGCTCTCAACTTGCAAAGATAAGAGACAATTATGACTCTCCATTTGGTGGAGTGAATATGATTTTTGCTGGAGATTTTGCACAGCTAGCACCTGTCCAGGAAGCAACATTGTATAGTGCAACTGTTGGTACTACCATTGATTCATCAATGACTGAGGCAGGCCAACAGAATGCAATTGGAAAGGCTCTGTGGCACCAGATTACAACAATGGTTATTCTACAGAAAAATATGAGACAGAAGATGCAATCTCCAGAAGACAAGAAGCTCCAAACTGCACTGGAAAATATGCGTTATGCAGCATGCACTCTTGATGATATTGACTTTCTTCATACAAGAATTGCTGGAAAGCAACCTGGCCAACCTGATATCAGCAGTAGCAATTTCCGCAATGTGTCCATTATTGTAGGCCTTAACACTGAGAAAGACTGGATTAACCATCTTTTTCTTTTTTTTTTTTTTTTTTTTTTTTTTTTTCATCAACAATTTATATAGCAGTGCTCGATGGCAGCCCGCTCGCTATCTACAAACACATACACTACACGGCCTGGGTACTAAGTAAACTACTAAAAGACGTCCACCCCCAGAACCACAAGCCTTGTGGCTCAAATGCTGAAACTCCCACAAAGCCAGACCCACCTTGCGAAAACGGTGATGCGGGATAAGGGGAAGAGACCATCGAGGCCCCACTAAACCCCAGAGCTGTCGAATGCTGTTCGGAGGCCATGCAGCGCAAATGAAATAAAAACAGCACCACCTGGGAGGTGGCAGGGTGCCTTGAGGCCGACAAGCCAGAGAAGCGCCTGCCCGAAACCAGATGCAGAGAGTTAGTGGCACCGCAACCCGCTATATCAGCGGGCCGCAAACACGAACAAGTGAAGCTGGTGCAGGTCTTTGAACCCTAGAGTTCAGTGGTGTCAATTCACCATAAATCCCCCAAAAGGAGGAACAACCCCATCCGCAATGATTATCCAACCCCTGAAGGGTCCCGGTTGAAGCCAAACACCATAGGGTTGTGCTTCAGAAACAATGCAATATCCCAGAGAAAACGGGGATAATGTACAGAATATCTATTGCGGCAGCAAAAGAGGACATGCTGGCGAGACTGCAAAGCAGCCCCGCAAGTGCAGCCATGAGGCTCATTGATCTTGAAGCGACGGTAGTATGCTCCAATGGGCGCGTGGCCAGTTATACACCGGCAAACGCGAGCGAACTCAGTGATACTGTGTCTGAATGTTGAAAGCCAAGGTCCCCCATTGAGGTACGATGGCTGGATCGGCTGCCCGTCAGGCTGTTGAAGCTCCAAGAATTCAGAGCCTTGGTAAGTACGATCTTGGAACATGAAAGCCCATGCATCCAGACTTGAGTGCACAGCTCGGGAGCGTAGCGCGTCTATAGAATTGTCTGTCTTGCGACGTCCGATCCTGACTTTGAGTTTGGTGACGTACTTATATGCTTCACCATGAATATCCCACCACAAAGCAGATGGAACGTAAACAAAGGTGATGCGGTGGAGATCATCTGCCTCAAACCAGTCTTGGAGAGCACAACAAACTGACAGACTAAAAGCCTGACCAGCATGTACAGAGGGGTCAACTGCTCTGTGGGCCAAGCCCATGGAGTCAGTAAAGACCATAATATGTTGGCAGTTTGCCTGCTTAACAGCAAGGCGCACTGCACATGCAATGGCATTGAGCTCCGCATCAGGGGCGGTAACTCTGCCAGAGACATAGCGAGTCCTTTCAAGCTCACAATGTCCCTTGTAGATGATGGCAGCCGAAGCTGCCTGATACTGGTTGGACCAAGGGACTGAGCCATCGGTTGCAGCCAGTACTGTCAAAGGATCGGCCCTCGCTTTCGTGATGAACTTGTTGAGATACAGGCACCTATCCTGAGTAGGATCACGCTCGTCAACATGGAGATGGTCCACAAAGTGGTCCAGTAGCCAATCACCTGGGCGAGCTTCAGGTGCAAAGGGCTCAAAGCTCTCAGTTAAGGTGTGGACGTGTTCGTCCACCTCCATGATGGTGCTCTTGACTTTCCCCTGCATAGCTGGGGTCATCAACACGACAGAGCGAATGTGAGGTTCAGCCCATTTGAGAAGCCTCTCGCCCATCATGGAGTGGAGAGGGTGAGTGCCTGAGAGGGTAGCGACGCGATACACTGCACACATCGCCAGTTTCTTCAGCATGAGGTGGACAGGGATGAGACCTGCCAAGGCCTCAAGACTGCCTGTGGGTGAGGTGCGGAACACACCTGTAATCCAAAGAGCAGCTTTCTGCTGCATCCGCTTGAGCTGGCTCATGGCACCTTTATTACGGGCGCCTTCAAAATACCAGAGACGATAGCCATATGTGGCAATGGGTACAATGCACGATCTATAAAGGAGGCGCCGCTGTTTAGGCGAGAGACCTCTGGTAGAGTTCCTGAGCATGCGCATGGCTTGCACGATGGTGAATGCCTTGGTGGCATAGTAGCAAATGTGCTCATGAAAGGTGAGCCCGTGGTCAAAGTGAAAGCCCAAGTACCTCCAATAGGTCTTGGGCTTCAATGGTGTGGCGCCTGTGTGCGGGGCGTACCCCAAATCAAGCGAAGGATTGTAAGTGTCTCGTCAACGCGAAAAGTGAAACAACTCAGTCTTGTCGTGTTCAAGAACGAGCGCAAAGGCAACAAAAAGAAGGTAAATAATTTTGTAAGCCTTATGCAGGCCCACATTATTATCATCAAGTTGTTTGGATTGGGGCAAAATGGTCCCATCGTCCACGAAAGAGAGTAGCATCGTGTTAAGCGGTGCCACTTTGATGTAGAAGAGCTTCATTACCAGAGCAATGAACAGCCCAGAGATAACAGGTGAGAGAGCTGAGCCCTGCCCAACACCCACGTCCACAGATCGTGGGTTGGATTGGAAGGCATTCCAACAGTAAACTGTGGATCGACCAACGAGGTAAGAGGCAAACCAGATTAACCATCTCGGCAGTCAATGATTCGCTGAGGAGACAGGACAGCAGCTTACCCACTTCTATTCTATTGATACTATGAGTGATAATTCTCAGGCAGATATTGTTGAACTCTGCTCGATGCAGCAAAGAAAGCAGAGAAAGCAGGTATCCATTCCAGATAGACTCCAAGTGTCACGACCCGTCCCTGGCTCCCGGCACAATTATCTGGCTCTTGAGGCTGTATCCAGCTTCCGAGGCTTGTGGTAATGAGCCATGCTCTTCCGGAACACTTCCGAGACATCTGGAAATGAGCTGTGCGCTTCCGAGGCACTTCCAAGGCAAGCCATGTTTCCGGCTCACTCCATTGTGTCTCCCAGCCATTGTCCCATTGTCCTTCATTGTTCTCCTTGTCCTGGCTAAGTTATCTATTACATAATCATGGTCCATTATTCTACATAGCATAAATACCCATGTACAGTAGTAGATTCCTCAGTCGGAATATCGAACTCGACATACCCCTTTGCTCTAGTTCACTGCCGGAATCCAGCTCCTCCCTGTTCATCCGAAATCGGGGACACCCAGACGTTGCGTGGTGGCGCAGCTGCCCCTTCCATCCAGCTGAAGCCAAGTCCCCACCCCATCCGGCACGGTCGTTACACCAAGATATAATTTGGAATTTAAGACATCCTGCTACTGAAGGTGTTGCTGGTAAGCTATCGCTGTGTCTAGGCATGCCTGTGATTATTCACAACAACGATGCTACTGAGCTGTGCATCACCAAAGGCCAAGAAGGTTTTGTAGCAGGCTGGCAGTCAGGTGTAGGGCCTAGTGGCCAGCAGATTTTGGATACCTTGTTTGTTCGCCTGGACAATCCAGCCCATACTGTTCAGCTGGAAGGATTGCCTGAGAATGTAGTGCTACTTACAAGATTATCTGGAAGTGTTGAATGCAAAGGTTTGAAAATGCCATTGACAATTAATCGTTCACAGGTTTCAATATTGCCCAATTTTGCAATGACAGACTACTCATCTCAAGGAAAGACCCGAAAATTCAATGTTGTTAATCTAAACAGCTGTCATAACCACATGGCATATTATACAGCGCTTTCCAGAGGGTCTACTGCAGATGGTACAATAATTATTCTGGGATTTGATGATGAGTGCATTAAGGCTGGAGCATCAGGCCATCTAAGGCAGGAATTTCGAGAGCTTGAACTACTAGATGAGATTACTCTGCAGAGATTTCTAGGAAAGCTCCCAAAAGAAATCAATGGATCTCTCCATAAAATTCTTCTCAAGCAGTACAGAGAGTTGAAGGGACAAAACTACTGTCCTATTAAGGTTGATTCTGCTCTACGATGGTCCTCCTCTGATCCAATGATGGTAATTGAGCCTGTCAATGATGCAAAATGGACTACTGCTATCAAGGCCAGTACAGACTCTAAACAAATGCTTGCTAACTACATTCCTGCTCAAGGATCCAATCCTATTGCTGCAGCAAAACAGACCATGAAGCAGAAATTGAATTCTGACAATGATACTAAATCAGCTAAACGGCAGAAAACAAAGAATAAGTCTCAGGAAATGCCTCTTGGCTTGAAATAGGACTCTGTAGACTATAGCTGCTCATATGATTCTCTCTTCACTATTCTCTTTTACCTCTGGTCCAGAGGTCCAACAAAGTGGTCATTTCTTATTTTTTTTTTTTTTTTTTTTTTGATCAACAATTTATATAGCGGTGCTCGATGGCAGCCCGCTTGCTATCTACAAACACGTACGCTACGCAGCCTGGTTACTAAGTAAACCACTAAAGGACGACCGCCCCCTCAACCAAGACCCTTTGGGCTCAAACGCCGAAACTCCCCAGAGGGCAACCCACCTCGCGAAAACGGTGCATCGGGATAAGGGGAGGAAACCATCGAGGTTCCGCTACGCCCCAAAGTCGTCGATCGCTGTTCGGAGGCCATGCAGCGCAAATGAGATAAGAAAAGCACCACCCGGGAGGTGGCAGAGTGTCTTGAGGCCGACAAGCCAGAGAAGCGCCTGCCCGAAACCAGACGCAGAAAATTAGCGGCGCCGCAACCCGCTACAATAGCGGCCGCAAGCGCGAAGAAATAGCGGTAGGCGCAGGTCTTCGAACCCTAGAGCTCGGTGGTGTCAATTCACCATAAATCCCCCGAAAGGAGGAACAACCCCGCCCACCACGATTATCCGACACCCGACGGGTCCCGGTTGAAGCCAAACGCCAACAAAGTGGTCGTTCCATCTATCAAAATATCTTCCCTATGGCCAGCAGCTTTCAAATGGATTTTCAGAAGTTATATGTGGCAGAGCTGGATTTGAAGAAATTCGTGACAGAGTCAGAAAGAATCTACATACCAGAAGTCCTCAAGCATTCCCTTATGGGATGACTGGAACAGATGTACATGAGTTGGTAGGCACACTCTTTCAAGATGGACAATGGCTTGGGACTGGACAAAAAATATGCAAGTCTTGTTCTTCTACTACAGAGTTGGATCTGCTCCTCAGAGTCGTATTTTTATACAGTCATCAGCTGACAAAACTGTGAGTGCTACCTTTAAAAATTGGCAGGCCTCAGAGGAACATTGCAAAACTTGTGGATCAAATGCACAAGTCCAGCAGCTACACAACATACCTCCAAAGATCATTGTATTCAATATTGAGGTTACAGGAATTGCAATTAGCAAATCAGTCAAGTCACATACTATTGATGGAAGAAAGCACATTCTTCCACTGCGAGGTGTGATCTATGCTGGCTCTAATCATTTCACAGCCCATATTATTTCAGATATAGGAGATGTCTGGTATTATGATGGAATTGAAACTGAGAGAAATTGTATTCTGGAGGGTGCTGTGGCAGAATATACTGATAAAAAGCTGAAGTGCAATTTGAGGTGTGCTGTGTGCGCCATTTATGCCAAGGCATAGGTATGCTATTAGTAGACTTGCTGTATGCAGATAGTAGGGATGAATTAAGTAGCACAATAAAAGTGATGGATAAAGACATAAGACAGAAAAAAAGAACTTGTAACTGCCATGCAAAGCAATGGCCCACAACACCAAGTTGCTAAACAACTTTCAGTGGGCATCTGTCTCGCTGTGCTCTGGGAGTAAGCAAGTCATCATTAATTTTTCAGAATGATACAGTGTTTCCAAATGCTCTATGCCTTGGCATGCATAGGGACACATATAACGCATACCCTCGCATACCCTTGCATGCCCATGCATTGTCCAGCAATAATGTATTAATTAGTCATATGTATGGCTATACATACCATGCCATTTTCACAAGCCCCTTGGACCAATACATGGGTATGTGTAGGTAGGCTTAGGCATGCATAGGGTGGTCAGTTTTGCTGATGGCGCACTATAGTCATTATCACACTTTTGTAGTCACTAATCACTTTGTAGTCACAAAATTTTTGGCACTTCACTGCAATGCTAGATGGCTAGGCCTCTCTCCCCCCCCACTTGCAATAATAGCTGAAATGCATGGAGAGATAGGTATAAAAGTGGTGAGTCGTTGCTGCTACCTCCCAGGCTTCGTGTCACCAAAACTCAGCTCGTTCTACCTCTTCATCAACCGCTATGGACCCCAACCAACTTACCCCTGTTCCTGGCAACCCTAACATCCGATATGACAGGTTTGGGTGGCCATATGTCCAAGATGTCTCTGGTCATTGGGTTCAGTTATACGCGCCAACCATGGTGACTTCTCAGGTAGGTACCCTACCCTATATGGTGTCTCTACCTGTCTCAATCCCTCTTTCCTTCTCTTTCAGTCTGTCCCTACTGCAACTCATGGATTTCCTGCTGTGTCCCAGAACGAAACTGCCCCGGTACGTTTTGTTATATCTTATTGTTGTCTACACCAGTCCTGACTTGTTTTCGTCAGACTCACCCCCATAATAACATGGAGGATGGTCCAAACCAACTGCTTTCTGAGGCTCTTGTGGTATGTAGCCTCCTAGATCATATATCTCCTTTGTTCTAATGCTGTGTTAGATTGTTACATCCACTCGAGCCCCGACAGCCGGCCCTTCTACTGCAGTGATCGATCCGGCGCTTTTACCTCTTCCTGAGGTCTTGGACGACGACCTCTCTGACCCGGTCACAATTGTGAAGTCCCGGGGCCATGCCGCTGCGAAGAAGGTCGCTGGATCACGTCAGAAGGGCAAGGGCAAACAGCGCGCTGTACTAACCAAGTCTCGCAATAAGGGAAAGGAGAAGGCCACCGCTCGCAAGCGCAGGCATGCCTCGGATGATGAAGAAGTTGAGGTAGTAGCCAAGCGTGGCCGTCCCAAGGGTGCTGGCAACTACACTGCAGACGAGGTTGATGCCCTCCTTGACTTTGTCGAGGAGGAGCTCCCTCTTGGCCAACGCGGGTGGCAGTCCATCCACTGTGGTTTCACTCGCTGGGCTCGTCGTAACGATGCTGCTGAACGCACGTTAAAGTCTCTGGAGACCAAGTTCAAACAGGTCAGCCGTTTTTGGTTATATGTAAGAAACATCGTTACTTACAACACATCTTAGCTTGTTAAGACCACGAAGCCCACTGGTGATGCCTATTGTCCCCTGGACGTCAAACGAGCACACAAGATTGACGGGCGTATCAACGAGAGGGCTGCCACCCGCAATCTCAACGACTCCGACTTCGATGATGCTGCTCAGTTGACTGGTGGATCTGAAGATGACGATGACGATGCCGACGACATCCCAGAGGCGCCAAAGAAATCGAGGAAGGCGGCATCCGCTGGCAACTGTGATATCCAGAATGCTATCATCCGCCACCTGACCCCGCTGTCCAGCGCCGCTCTCGGTCAAACAATGTCGACCTCATCGGAAAGCTTGCCAATGCCTTTGATCCGAGTGTCCAACAAGCTCGTGATGAGGAACGTGCCCAGCGTTCCTTCCAAGCCTTGCAGATGTTCACCCTTTCCCAGCAACTTCGAGATGCCAACCTTACCATTGAGTCGCTCCGCTCCCAGCTCTCTACTCTCCAGACCCAGGTTCATGAGGCCCAGTGAGCCCGCGATCGTGCTGAGTTGCAGTTGCAGCTCATTGAAGAGGGTAGCTGCCAGTCTCGACCTTTCAGGAGGAGCTGCCACAATGGGTATGTCAAGCGCTCGAAGTCCACAAAGCATTCAGTCCAGCGTGTCCAGGGAAAGATGCGTTGCGAGGAGAGGTACCCGGAGGGAGGTATACACATGTACTGGGTCACGGATCCCTCCTCTACCTCGGGTGAGAGTGATAAGGAGAACGAGGACCCCAATTTCTTCCGTCGCCGCTGTGACATTGACTATAGAGACCAGCCTTCGTCATCGTCGTCGTCAGGCCATCACTTTGGCATAGAGTTGCAAGCTTTGACTACTTCCCAGCCCAATGCTGCCACTGCCACAGCTGGCAAGGACCAAGATGGTGAGGAGGGTGACAATGACGATATATACATCAAGGATGCTGATGGGCCCAAGGACGAGTAGAGTAGTGCAACATCTACTTCTGTCTACACTTATGTTCTGTTACTTGTTGTGTTCCGTTACAATTACCATACACCTGCTTGTAATACAAACCTGTTTACGTGTATTCTGCGTAAGTATGGAAGCAAGCAACTCTATCGTTCTTTCGTTGATCTGAGAAGAGCATATTCTCAAAGTTCTGCCAGATATCAATGTCCTCAGCTGTGTCCTGCCAGTATCGCATGTATACAGTCCGGATCTGATTGATTCCCACTCGTCTTGTGCGCAGATTATTGAGGCGATTGCAGATCTCAAGGAGATTTCCTTGACGTTCTGCATTGTCAATGGGAAGTGGAACACGGAGACGACCAAATGCTCCTTGAAGACCTCGATTTCCCCACTCAGCTGTTTGCTGATCTGAGAGAAGCTCACGGTCATAGGCCATTCGCTCCGCAATCTCGTCTGGCGTACCTCGCACAGCCTGGCCAGCCTTGAGCAGGGCGCGAATGTGTCCTGCAATGGATTGTGTTCCACGAGGAAATGCTGTGTCAGCAATGAGGTAGTATCCAGGTGGTGTTCGTGTGCGAAGCCGTTCAAAAATAGGACAAGCAACATTAGCATCGTGCCAACTGCCTGGTGCATTTACAACAGCATCAATGATTTCACCTAAGATATTATCAGTGAATGAAGTTACAATAGCATTGATGTTCTTGCCTTTCGGTGAGAACACAAGTACTGAGCTGACAAAATGCTCTGAGAGCCACCCGTTGTAGGTAGCATTCTCAATATCTTCATCCTCCGATGTTTGGACAGGAAGATTCAATCCGTCGATGGCAGCAAAGGCCCCAATCAGTCGAGGATGTCGAACAATGATAAGATCATTGTATTCTTGGAATTGCCCACCACCTGGGCCACCCTTCGGCCACTTGATACGGGCATCTGGCATTCTTCGCAAGACCTCGAGAAGTATGTCAAGTGAGAAGTCAAGATACCGGACAACTGTGGCAGGGATGAGAGCAAAGATTTGCTGCAAGCTGATGTCGAGCATCGTGGAGCTGAGATAATGGAGGACAAGGCCAAGGGCCCCTGGGGGATCCAAAGATCGGCCGCCTGGTCATGGATCTCCTGAACAAGAGGTATCAGTTCGGGGGATGGGTGTTGAGAGCCAGGTCTGTACAAAACCCGACTCGAGAATGAAATCGAAGGTGGCAACATCAAACCCCATGGTTGTGATATATGCACGGTCACTCCTGCTGTCGTAAAGGGAGGTCCATGGTGTCGCAATCCGGGGGTTCTCCAGGAGTTCAGGGCGGGTAAGATATTGGTGGGTTTCGTGACATCATTCATTCTGTAACTGACATGAGATCTCGGCACCTCCCACTATGACGCCGAGTGAAGCAGCACCCATCTCCCAGTACTCTTCATCTGCCTCCTCTTCAAGTTGCTCTGTGAATTGTTGGAATATGAGTGCATCTTCATTCATGGCTGGCTAGAGATGGGTGGAGGCCCAGGGAATGACAATTATCTTTAATCACGAGGCTTGCGGTTTAATCAGATGAATAGATTATAAGATTATCTTTGAATTTGAGGTCCGACTTTGTTATGAAATATTCTACTGTGGAATAAATACCTTACGGACAGTCATCCATTCTAAGAAAACAAAAAGAAAGAGTCTGCTAAACAATATTTTCAGCAAGAGACAGAATATTTTTATAGCTTGGTATCATAGAATGTGTATCTGACAACTATATAAAGTAATATAACATATATAGTAAGTTTATTCAAATTAGAAATTTGACTATTTTGATTATATACTATATAGAGTATTATTCTTATATAGTAGTTTACTAAATTTAGAAATTGATCAAATTTAGCAATATATCATATATAGTATTATTCCTTATATAGAAATATACTATATTTGAAATATTACTATAATTGGATTATTGCCTTATTTAGAATATTTCTTTATTTAGTAAGTGCTATCTTCTTCTTAGTCTTTGAAAAGATTACATTATAATCTATTGAATCATACAAAATAGATTCTGATTTATCAATTCAAAAGGGCTACAAGTGAGTCTTATATGACTTTATTAAGAGGTAAACTTTATTTATGAACTTCTTGAATCTGTAAAGCTCTTTAAAAAAGCAAAATTTAACAAAGACTCTAACTGACTAGCTAAAAGAAAGAAGCTATGACAGATATGTTTAATAGCTGTTCTACTAATCTACAATAATGATATAATGAGAATGCCAGTACTTATCTAAGCAGTTGTTTCTACACAATACTGCCTATATTATGTCTTTATTATCTATACAATCAATGTGTATTTACACTTTTGTATAAGACAAATACCTTCTTGTATAACCAATTTCTCTAACATCTATAGAACAGTCTTTTAATTGTTCCAGTTATGCTTCTTATCTTCTTATAAAGACTGAAAAATATCAAGCTTAGCATTTTTAGTATTGGTCTATTCTGGGTATTGGTCTGAACAATAACAACTTGATTCTAATACTATAACTTGGATGTATAGATGTTTGACTACTTAGAACTTCTTTGACTGAAACAGAGCACCTTTCTAATACTACTATGAGTCTTTGTTACAATCTGTGCTGAGTCAGAGATCAGATATGTTTGAATGTGTTTCTCGGAGCATGAGTTGTTGAGTGCCCTTAAGGGGTGCTCCAATTCCTCTGCACCAGGACTGGACCATGTTACATGGGTCCATCTAAAGGAATTGCTCAAAGACAAACACATTCTTGTGCTCTTCATTGTGCTGGCCAACACTTGTCTTTGGGTGGGCCATTGGCTGCACATATTCAAGGAGTCGCTTTCGGTTATCATCCCAAAGCCGAACAAGCCCTCCTATGCTGTGCCAAAGGCTTTCAGGCCTATTGTACTCCTCATCACTTTTGATAAACTCATTGAAAAGATGATTGCGAACAGGATACAGTTTGATGCTGTCAGGCATGATATCCTTCATCACCAACTTGGCAGCATTTGCCAGAGGTCAACTGAGGATGCTGGATTGATTCTTACCCACCTCATGTGAGTGGGGTGGGTTAAGGGTCTCCAGACTAGTGCGCTGGCTTTTGACATTGCACAGTTCTTCCCTTCTATCAACCATGAAATGTTCATGGCTGTCCTATGCAAGCAGGGGTTTTTGCCAATCTTGGTGGACTTCTTTGCTTCTCATTTGGTTGGCTGTTTCACAGTTTATCTT